TTGATTTGAGTAGTGTCTTGAGGACAAGTGTTGGTGTTGTTTGAACGTTATGTAATTAGAAAGTTAATGTGGGATTTTATTGAAGAATAATAGGAATGATTGACTTTGGTTTTGAGGTTTCGGATATGAGATAGTCATATTGTGTGTTTTGACAAGGTTATAATTGAATCGAATGATGTTATGGAGTTGTTTACCTGGTACGGGTACTATGAGAAGATTAGGAAGCTTTGATGCTGATCAATGATTGAGACATTTGGTACCTTGTCGTTTTGATTGTTATGGTTATATGGTTGAGGTATGATTGAGATTATAAGAATAGGTATATGACTGTATAGTTGTTGAAGTTATGTAGAGTAATGGATTGATAGTGAGTGGATCTTATTGTTATTTTGTGAACTATCTGGATTGTATTTGAGGTGTGGCCTGAGGACAAGAATGATGTTTGTGCTAAGACTGGATCGAGGATGAGAATGGCCTGGCCAACCATTTCTCTTAAATCAATCCCTCTTTAGCACGATGTTGGGTCAAAGGTCAATGATTGTTTTGAGTTGTCACGAATAGTGAGAGTATGGTATTGGGTGTGTGTTAGTGTGGTGGTGTGGATTCAGGAAGTTGTCCCAGGTGACGAGGTGTGTTAGGTGGGACCCAGTGCTAGATCCGTTTAGTTATTAAAGATCTTGTTTCGAGGATTTGTGTCTTGGGTACAGGATAGTACGCTTATTGATTTGGTGACTAATGTTTATGCGGTCATTGGGGAACTCATTGTTTAATCATTATGAAGTTATTAAGTGTAATGATTGTCGTATAATGTAATTAGTAGTCATTGGTACGGTTATGTGGTGGTGTAGCTATGTACTAGATAGTAAGTGTTTGGTCTGTCAGGGATGTGTAGATTAGAGTTGAGATTGATTGAGAGATGGATGAGATTCCTCGTTTGGGGTTTAGTGTGTCCTTTGAAGGATGAGTGGAGGTTGGATGTTGTTACGTTCCGGGGTCTTGTAACCGTTTTCCTTTCGGGCTTTGGAGCCTTTCATGGCTGTGTGGAGTAGACTGATGTTCGTTTTGAGTCAGGCATAAAGCCTAGTTGGTCTTATGTTATGATGAGGTGAGAGATAAGTACCCGTATTGTGTTTTAGTGGCAGTGGTGTGTGATTGCCTGGTGACGTCCAGTGTCAAAGGCAATAATATTGGTGAGTTCATAGTCTTGGGGTTTTGTGAGATGTTCTTGGAGAGTGTGTGGCTGTGGGCCTTCTTCTTAAGGAGGGTAAATTTCGAGGACAAAATCTCTTTAAGGAGGGTAGATTGTGATGTTTCCATTTTTCACCATTTTTCATTTTTCGGAATTTTTGTCATTGCGAGGGCATTTTCGTCTTTTGTCATTTTGCGTACCGGACACTGTGGAGTGTGCTGGTTATGTTGTGTCTGAGAATTGATTGGGGCATTTAATGAGTTCAGGATTCTTTGAAATGCAAAGTTTTCATTTTTGCATTTTTTTTAGTTTTCGGGCCGGACAGTCTCGTGTGGGACCCGCTGCCGGAATTGTGGCATTCGGGGATTTTAGTTGAATTCATTTGCATCACATTTATTTTATTTAATGTGTTATTTGTGGTTGAGAATTATTATGGGTGGGTATATGTATAATTGTGGTTAAAATAAAAAAGGAAAATAAATTAATTTTGATGGGGTCCACCATTAGTATCTTTTAAAGGCCAAAAGGCCATTTACCTCACAATTCTCTTCCTCTCCCGTAAGCTTTTCTCTCTCCCATTCTAGACTTTCTTTTTACCTTCTTTTGTTTGCAAAACTTTAATCACAGATTCCTCCTTTATTACTTGAAATTTTTGGAAGCCGTTTGCGGCAATTCGAAGTGCACGGCGAGATCTTCACATCCATATAAGCAATTTCAGTTTTAGTGCACTTTAGGGATTCCAATTTTGAGACCCATTTTGGGGTTCATGTTTTCTTGTACCTATGTGAGTTAATTTCTTGATAATTGTTGTTAGTATGTTTAATTGGTGTTGATTATCCCTAAATGATTTAATTGTGGTGTACAAAGTTCTTGATTTTATGTACTAGTTGATTTGTATGAAAAACATGCCTAAGTGTTGATTTTCTATGTTTATTATGTTGATAAATTGCTAGAAATGATATATGGAAGCATGTGTAATTTTCTTAGAATTATGTAAAGCATGCTTAATTGTGTTGTATGAAAATCCCTTATTATCATAGCATTGAAAGTATGAGACATGTATGTATTTCATTGGGTATTAATGAAGGGAAATTATTTGAAAAAAAAAAGGGACTTTTGGGAAGAAATATTGATTAAATGGTTTTGAGAAAACCTAGTCGCCGTAGAGTCACCAAAGGCCGATGTGTTAATGTAACCTAGAGGGAATTAGGGAAAACACACTAGCGTGGTTGAGCTATCTGGGCCCCAAATGACGTCGTGGGGGTACCAAGGGTCAAGGATAGTAGTCGATCCTTCTCTCGTGTAGCTGCGGAGTCACCAACGGACTGATTATATTAACAGTTTGAAAAGTGATGGATTTGGATTTTGAAAGTGGGGGCGACATACATGGCATCGCATATCATGGCACGGCATTGTTTATTTGAAAATTGGAATTAATGTTGTATCTTTTCCCGGTATAGCATGACTCCCATCCTTTATTCCTATTCATTGTTTGGATTCACGGGGTCACAAGAGGTGTGTCTTAGACACTACCTATTGAGCAATTTTGCTCACCCCTTATTATTAATATTTTTCAGGACACGGAAGGAGGCGGCGAACGACCATCTACCACAAGTTTAGACGGGATTGGAAATTTGTATTTTGCTATTTTCGTTTTACAACTTTAATATTTTGTAAATGTAAATTTTGACTATTCTATAAAACTTTAGTATAATTTGTATAATGTTGTAAATTATGGACTTTTGATTTCAACTGTATTTCATGGATTGTAAATTGATGTAATTAGATTATGTCCCTTGTAAAGGAGTATGGGACTAAGTAATGGACTGGTACCTTTATTTATTTATTTATTTATTTTTATTTTTATCGAAGGAATTGGAGGGAAGGGACTCTGATTATATGTGTATAGTTATTTTGGGAATTGATATATTGTTTGCATTGTGCGTTGGGACATGATAGATTAATATATGGCCAAGTGAGGCCATTACATTTTTTTATGCATTTCAACAGGCTGTGATAGGACCCTTTTTTATAGAGGTCATGCCCAATTTTTTTTAGAATTGGTATCATTTTAGGGTCGTGACAGAAACAAACTATTGATTCATTTCGGTCGACCGACTTAGAGCAAATTTAAACTCAAACGGCTATTTTGCCTTGAAATCCGTGCACAACAACTATATTATTGAATTAGCTACAGAAACTCTATAAATAGAGTAAGGGGACTTCGGGATTTTAAGTTGCTACACTTGAGAGACATCTTCTAGCATCATAAGAGCTTTTGTTCTTCATTCATATCACACTCTCTCATCCCATATCATTCATAGAGTATTGAGGTTCAATCTATTCATCTATACTCTAGTTGTGAGCTTTAATTTGCATATCAATCTTTGAGAGATATATTTGTATGCAACAAATCTGATCTTCATTTGTGCGGGCTGGTGTGACCCAAGAAAGAAGAAGCAAGCTAGTTTCAATTTGTAAGGGTTGGTGTGACCCAAAGGAAGACTAAGAGAAGGTTGTTCTCTTAGCAAGGAGAAACAAAGAGTTACTTCATGTAAATGTTTACTCTCCACCCGTAAGGAGAAGTCATAGTGGATTGGGGAGTCTCAAGAGGGATTTTGAGTCGAGGAGTAGGAGCTTCCGAACCTTATTAAAATCGCCGTGTGAATGTTTGCAATCTTTCTTCTCTTATCTCCTTTACATGTAAGCTATTAATTACTTATGTTTATATCTTGATTATTACATAATTGTTAGAAGGTATTAAGTATAATTTGCAAATCTGAAAATTGGTCATTGTTTGCCATAGACTCTATTCACCCCCCCTTAAAGTCAATACTTGGGCAACAATTAGGTCCTTCGAATTTGGAGTATCTACAGTAATACGGAACAAGAATCCCCTGAAATGGTTACTTTTTTTTCAAATCGTCACAAATGAGACCAGTCCATCTATTCTCAACACTGATCACATCTCTCACAAGAATTTTTTATTAAGTTCAGAAGGAATGGCTAGTGATGAGTAGGTCATATTTGTTTCCATACCTCCATCTGTAGCATGACTTTGGATTCATATACAGTTCAATTTCCCACAAGTATGTCAACGACGTTCCTTGGAAGCATTTGTTTCCCTTGAAGGCACAATGCAGCTAAGATCTATATAATTTCTTTGTCTGAAGACTCGGGGTTCCTGCACTCAATATTTTCATCTTCCTTTTGATTTTCTTGAGAAACATTATAGACATAATTTCTTTCAATTGGTTATAGAATCTTGTTTGGTTTTGTTTTTATTTTTTTATTTTTATTTTTATTTTTTATTTTTTTTTGTATGTCTCAAGTAGCATTGTCACATGAGCAGCTAACTTGTCTGATCCCTTGTCTTTGTAAAATGTTATCTGCATATCAGACCTTGCTGTTTAATATTTGATCCATTTGGTATGGTGGATACATGTTATAATCAGTGGGCGAGGAACATATAATTTCCAGTGGACCTTCATTGTTTGTTCTGCTATAGTGACCTGGCTAATAAGCTATCGAAGATGTATTACAGCACGAAAATGTCACATTCTTGGTATTTTTGTTGGGAGGCATGACCATGTGATTCCACATCCCATGTGTATTTTGTGGACCAACTGCACTAATCTCCTCACCGCTCATTTGATATGAGAATGCTGGTCCTCTGCAGGTTGTTGCAGGCAGTGGTAGGACATGACTGTGAATTCCTGATGATGAGTTGGAAGACAAATCCATGTGAGGAGACTCATTCTGCATTTCAGAGGATTTCTTGCATTCCCTTTTATCTATATATATAGACATACATAATAGTCATTCTATAATCGACACAAGTCTCATCTTTTCTTCACTCTCAAAGCTTTTCATTTGTTCTGCAAACTCCTCACTGTGCCCTTTGTTTCTTTTCTAGTTCATACAACATAATGGGTTTCCGCATGCCTCGTTTTATTAATGCTAAGCAAATTCTTCGGTTGCCTTCTTTGGCAGCAGACCAAGTAGCTTCAACGGCTCTAAATGTCCCGAAAGGCTATGTGGCAGTCTATGTTGGAGAGAGTGAAATGACGCGATTCGTGGTTCCAATATCATACTTGAACCAGCCTTCATTCCGGGACTTGCTAATTCAAGCCGAGGAAGAATTTGGATTTAATCATCCAATGGGTGGTCTTACAATTCCTTGCAGAGAGGACATCTTTATTAACCTGACTTCTCAACTGAGCAGATTTTGAGCTTGGATGCTCTGTATATATGTTAGTAAAATAGTAAACACAGTTTTGTAAAGCAGGAATCACCATTTCCATATACAATTTCAATTTTTTAATTTTTTCACAGAAGAGGTTTGGGATGGAAGAAAAAAATTCTCCCTATTTCACAATATTATATATATTCATTGAAATCTTTGTTTATGTCCATCTGTTTCTTTGATTCAATTAGCACACAGAGATCTTTTCCATAAACTATGCTGGCAAGAATTTTTGCAGCAGCATGGTTCTCCTCTCTCTTTTATCGGTAAATATGGTTCTCATACCTTGATATATGCATATGTCATATATGCTTGTATGCATACATATAATTGTGCAAAGGCTATATGCATTACACATGAATCAATTGTAGTTGCATTAATCAGGATCATCATATAAAAAGAGGGGAAAAGTTACAATTTCAGGGCGATAGGGTACTGAGATGTCCTCAACTCAACTAAACCTTACCCTATTTGAACACTCTACATAACTGTAACACCCCGAATTCCATGATCCGATGCATTAGCCAAGTAGATCCAAACCCGACTTGAGAACCCGGGCAACAAATGCAGAAATTAAGGTCAAAACGGCCATAAACATGAATTAATCGTCATACAAAGTCATAAACTAGGTATAGGTTGTGAATGGTGTCTCAAAGGAACTTATACTAGTCAAGGATAGCTCAAAAGAGAACTCAAGTGGACCAAAGGTAAGTGGTGAACTGGGTACGAACCGGTCGACAGGAGGCTATACCGGTCCACCGAAGCTCCTATAAGGCTCATACCGGTCGTCGACCGAAACATGGTCCTGGAGATGCAGAGTCACTGTCTAATATAAAATGAGATACGGGTCGACCGGTATCTTCTATTGGTTGACCGATTCTCCCCAGAAATCCCAGAATTGGTCATTTGATGGTTCTAAGGTTATGGCATCATCCTAAATCACATATAAAATGGTGCAAAATCATCTCTAAGCCTATAAATCGTAGCATGGGCATGGTGAACCAAATGTGTGTGTCAAAATACTTGGAAGTGTGCAATTTAGAAGTAGTTGACCAACGGGCAGTAGTCTAGCGGTATCAGTCTCTTACTTCTCAAAGGGAGGTTATGGGTTCAAATCTTAGAAGAGACAAGTGTGTATGAGTACCAATTAGAGAAAAAAAAAAAAAAAAAAAAACATACATTGAAATGAAAATGACTCGATGGCCTCATTACATCATTTGTCAAGTATCAAATACACGTGAGCTAGACTAGAAATGACTTGGGAACTCCAACAGATGCAAGTGAGTTCCCGACCCATTTCTCTCTTCAAAATAATACTATATCAATCCATGAAATACATAGTCGTAAGTATATATCCAAAATACATGTCCAAATTAGATACAACTCAAACTTGCTCTAGACATTAATCAGCTCCACTTGTGCCATTCATGGGGCTGCAATATGCATTTAGTTTTTTTCACGCCAAGTTTTGAAAACTTAGGTCCATTTTAACCATATTTTTTAAAGCTCAAATCTTGTAAGAGAGAATTTTCAGTTTAATTTAATTGTAGTCTTTACCAAAATTATATACTATTTTTTTTTAATTGTTTCTTGCTAAATGACAAATCATATGACTACTTCTTATACTGTATAAGTTACTAAAGTAATAATTTTGTTTTTGTTAAAACTTGGAAAATGTTATTTACTTAACATTATTTTGTTTCTTAATATTTCATCAATGTAATAATGCTATATTCCTACACGGAAAGTTTTTCCAGAAATTGAATTTTTGAAAAATTTAAACAATTGTTGAAGAAAAATTGAAAAAATTGCTGAAGAAAATTTGATTTAAATGACGCAGCAAGCCATGTCAAGAAATTCTTTGCGGCATTGTATCGATCAATTTGTGGGCATCTTTACGCAGTAAAAATGGAGGACTTGCCAATAAATTCTTTGCGGCACTAAGATGGAGGACGTGCCCATTATGATGATCTTGTCGGGACAAAATATGTGGTTCTGACCACTATGGAGAAATATTGAATAACTCGGATACGCAGTGTGTCCAGCATTCTAAAAGGTTTTGGCTTGTGTATTTTATCTTGGGCCAAATGATTTGGACAAATCTTTGGTTGACTTCTAAAACACACAACCCATTTTGGAAAGTTTAGTGATGACAATTTGTTGTTCCATCCCGGCCCTAATGGCACGGGTTTGAGCATCGTTTATATACCATGAGAGCGAGTATAGATTTAGATTTTAAATCTGAAACGGATTACAGCCGGTATAGGTTTTGAGAAACATCCATCCCGCCCCGATCTTTATACTTTATTTTATATATATATATATATATATATATATATATAGATGTAAATATGTGTTATAAATGTATGCATATTATTGTGTTCACAAAATATATAAATTTTATATAATGTAAATAATGATATATATATCAATTTATTTATATAGATTAAAAAAAAATGTAAACAGTGCGGGGTGGGACGAACACAGGTACACTCATCTATTAATGGAGCGGGTATGAATTGTGAAATTAAAACCCGTCGCGTGTAGGCGGGTATGGATTTGTTTATAATTAAACCGGGTGAGTACGGATGTAGGAAAACCCACTTCCTGCCCGTCTCATTGCCATTCCTACAAATGTTATCTGAAAATAGGGCTTTTTCTTTCTTTTTTGAATTTTCATGTAAAACATTTTTTAAAAAGTTGTAAACCTAAAAATTTTTATACTGTTTTTCAATTTTCAGTTCCTTAAAAACAACAAAATTGTTAATTGAACCAAATATAATATTTTTTCTCTATGGATTTATCAGAGCATCCAGAACCCAAGCGCTTTTGGCCAATCCCCTTGCGCTGTGGCGATTGAAACTTTTTGGGCATAGCAAGAGTCCAAAGTGAGCACTTGTGTGTATTTTAATTTTAATTTTTTAATTTTGAGCACTTGTGTGTATTTTAATTTTAATTTTTAAAAAGTGATAGTATGTGATGACGTGTGAGACAAATACTATGTATTTATTTAAGCCTTGTTGTATATGTGTAGTGTCTAATATTTTCTCTATACACGGGAAAGTATTAATGATCAACGGGTCCAAAACGGACAATAATATACCATGTGGTAGAGTGGGTCGTTAAATTATGAGTGATAATTCTTAAATTTGTTGTTGAGGAAGCTTGTTCTTCTTTCAAATAATAAAGAATATGGGGTTGCGAGCGATAAATACCTTTATGGTATGCAAATAGGTATATAACCCTCCGTAGTTAGTAGAGTGGGTAAAAGACTAAAGTGCCCGCATGTATTGAAAATAAAAAGGTGAAAAAAAAATAAATGTAAAATGACCAAAGTATCCTAACCAAAAGAGAGGAAAATTGTGTTTATATGTAAAATGGTATAAGAGCATTTTGAGGGGACTAAAAGGGCAGTTTAGAGAATTTGTTACTTAACACAGGCATGTGCAACACACATGACCACTTAAATGTGATTTTTTGACATATTTTACGAATTAAGTCTTTATCTGCTCAAACTTAACGGACTCATATACCCAAAATAAATGTTAGATATGTTATTTGTCCAAATTTTAAACATTAGGGGTGTTTTTCAAATTTTACCCAATAACATATATATTCTTGCTTTATCCTTCCACATATATATATATATGTATGACTATGAAATATGAATTTATTTTTTCTCCGAATTTTTGACATAAATACATTATTTTGCAATGGAACACAACATAAAGACGACTCAAATTTGGATGAAAAACTTAGTCTTAGATAGAGATAAAAATAAATTTGAAAGCTTCAAACCTCAATTTTTATACTTGATAAATAAACTTAGAGTTGGTTAGATACATTTTTAACATAATCTCTAAAAGTCCCATTTTATTCAATATTTGATATAACAATATTTAAATAATGTTAGTTAACTTTATGTGGTAGAAAGAAAAAAATTTACATTTGATAGATAAGCTAGATTTATTGTGGAAGAGAGGAATGAAATGTACGAAATGAGAACAATAAAACGTGTACTATGAAATAGGCACTCGGTCTTCTGAAGTATCTGGAAGGAGCATTGGGTCATGGTACATAATACATTGGACAAAGAGTTCTTGACAAAATGTTTCTCTCACAAATTACTAGCCCCAAGAAAGAAGTGAAACGCAAGAAATCAGAAGAATAAAAGGTACAAATTTACAACCAAAAAAAGAATACAAAGTCAATTTTTAATTATTTTTATTTTATTTGTTATATATATATATATATATTTTAATATTTACATTGACAAGAGACACACTCCCCCCCGCGGCGGCGGGGCGGAGGTTATATCACTGAGCAAATGCCCTTTAGTAAAGTCAACTGCTATTGAATGAAAACTAAGAAAAGAACTTTCAGTTGAATATTCTTTTCTAGCAAACTCAAAAGAACCTCATTGTGTATAATTTAAATAAGGAGATCATATTGGCACTCTACTTTACTCCAATTACACTTCATCTACATTTTTCTTTTAAAGGAAATGACATGAATTCATTAATATACCATCATTTATTTTATAATGCCATAACTGTCCTTTATACCCCTTTAACTTTTTTTTTTTTCCCTCTCTCCAGATGTCTTCTCAAAAAAGATAATTTATTCAATACATATAATTTTATTTTAGCACTTAGAAGAGATAATTTATTTAATAGTGACTTTTTTTTTTTTCTATTTTTTTTTTTTTTTTTGGGTCTGATCAAAACAGTTAATTTATTTAACAAATTTAATTTTCAGGTAACTTTGTTTTAGGTAATTTTTTTACCAGTCCCGGCAAAAGAAACAATTTATTCATTAGAAATAACTTTTTTTTTTTAAGTCCTTTTTTTTTTTTTTTTTTTTTTTTGGATCTTGAGAAAAGAGATAATGTTTTCAATAAATATATATTTTTGGGTTTTTTGTTTTTTTGGACAAAAGAGGCAATTTATTCAACAAAAAAAAAAAAAAAAAAAAATTATTTTGGATAAATTTTTTTGGTCATGTAAAAAAAAGTCCTAAAATTATTAAAAATTAGAGATAAAGAGAGAAAATCTGAAATACAGTTCTGTCATTTAAAAAATAATAATCATTTCCTTGTAAAGTTAGAGTTAGAAATGCCATTTCTTTTAAGATTGGAGTGCAAGCGTAGAAATGTGGAATGTGATTA